ACGGGCTGGTTGTGTATGAAGGTCATCTGAGAGAGAGGAGCTGATCCCAGCACGCAAGCCTTCACCTAGTGCATTGGATACGACTGCGGGCATTGCCCCCATCCTGCTCAAAACCCCCTTACCTCTTCACGTTAACTGCATCGAACAGCGTAAATGGAAAACCTTGGGAAGTGTTTAATACCTCTAAAAAGAAGGAGCAGCACATAGCATGTATTCCAACAGCTCTTGAAGACAATCGCTAGACTAAAACTTTTGCTCTGACCTTGCATTAGAGGAAGAGGTATTGGTGCTGCCAGATCAATAGTCTCCTTTTTGCTTATGCTTCATTTTTACCCATGGCCAGAGCTGGTCTGACCTCAGTTCTCAGGTCTTTTGACCCACCAAATTGAATTGCTTTTAATTTTTTTCTAGACAGCCCTCAAAAGCATTGGATTGGTACTTTACTGATGCAAATGTAGAAGCAAGCAAATAATTCAGTTTGATCTGGTCACAGACTGAGTTATGGCTGGAGGCTACCTATGAATCACTTTTAGCATAAAAAAATATTCGCAAGAAATCCAGCAGCTTCTAACCAGTAATAACTTGAAATTCCACGTGAAAACTTGACATTTCCTTCATACACTCAATTTGCAGTTTAAAAAGAATCTTCCTTGTGCATGTTCATTTCTGCATACTGAGCCCCAAATATTTTAGCAAACAACCACTGGCAACAAAGTCCATAGAAACAACTGATATCTGGAATAATTTCTGGAAAATTAATTTTGCGGTCATACATTCAGTACTAGAAGAAAGTTTACTCCATCAGGATGCAAATTATCACGGCTCTATTACAGGTCCAGCTCCAAGCTGGAAACTCAGCGCTCTTCGGCTGGGACCACAAAAGCCTGGTGGCAGGGCCAGTCTTCAGGTGGAGTTTGGATGTGTTAAGGGGACGATGCCGTTGCTGCAATGGAAGAGAGCGGGACGTCCCCCGTGGACCTATAGGTACCACGTACAGACCCACTAGCAGGAACGGGAACATCCTTTGGACACTTCTCCCTTTAACGCCCACATAAACCAAGTTCATTTTCAGTTCAGTGCCCAAAGACAAGAGCCAGGCTGAAACCTCAGGTTCCCTCCTGCTCCGCGACGCTTCGTGCTGTTGCTCACATTGCAATCTCCTTCAGGCTTGCAGCTTGGATGTACATCGTGGGCTCTGCCCGCTGCTGCTGATCCTAACGGCGATATCTAATTCAAACAACGAGAGCTTTTTTTCTTTAATTTGTGTGAATTTCCTTTGATGCCTAAATAACAGAAAAGCAGCAAAACAAAATGAGGCTCTCATCTGAATTACTCAGGAGAATACAGTAAGCTATTCCAGGCTGTCAGATACAGTTGTAATTAGGTGCTTTTAGAAGTATATTATCTATTTTTATCTGTTATTTATTGTGCATACTACATTTGTTGTGCTGCACATGTTGTGCCCCTGATAGACTCCTGCAGATTTCTTGGTACGTGGTTGTCTAGGCGCTGTTCCTACACCCATTCCTGAGATTTGGAGACAAACCAATTGGATTCTGACATTTATTTATCTTCTTAGAGTGAATCTTTTCGTCTGGTAGATATGTAGGACTCCTGAAGAGATGTTACACCGTGTCACGCTAATCCTCCTTAGTTCATGGATTACTGACCTAATGCACGATGACAGCCCTTTCAGAGCCATCGTCTCGCACTGCGGTAATCCGCTGTCACACGCGCGTGCCGAAGTGTGCGACCTCTGCGCGCCAGACCCACTGCGCCCTCCCCACGAGAACCCCCAAGAACAAGCTGGCGCTGGGCAAAGGCACCCTCAAACTGTGCCCACTGCTGAGATAGCTCGGCAAGCTCTCGTCGCCTGCCGCAACACCCTTTGCCTAAAGGCTCTCAGAACCCCGTGAGGTTTTCAGAAGGAATTCAGGCCAGCTGCTAGCTCTGTCTTGGGCCGATGCAGGTGCCCCCCGAAAGCGGGGGGGGTGCCCGTCCCCGGGCGGTACAGAGCTGTTCTCAAGGCTGTGTCAGCCCCAAGAGCCGAAAGGCAGAGCCACAAGCTCACTCCCCAGCTCCGGTTTCCCGTCTGTCATGCCCACTCACCCCTGCCCACGTAGAACAGAAATAGCGGAACAAGGCAATAATTCCTTTCCCTCCCCAAATACCTGGAAAATTAATATGAGTCAAAGCTCCAGCTACCTGGCACCGTGAATGCAAACACACCAGGGCTTCCTGGTAGATACCGAGAAGCAATTCCACAGCTTTTTTAATTAGCCATCCCTTCCGCTTCTTGCAATATCCTCCAGATCGGTCCCGTGTCCTCAGCTGCCCCGGCCACACGAAAGGCCTGAACCCCAGCTCTTGCCTGGAAATACCTGCGGGGTATTTCGGCTTGCATTGCTCAGGTTAATTCACCCCGATTTCTCATCGGAGGCACAGAGGAAAGGAAACCTCTCCCGGCTTCCTGGCTAATATCTGCCTTCCTCCAAGGTGTCTGGACGTCTCGTGCCAAAGAAAAGCCTCCCCTTCGGCTTTTCTGTATGTCTAGTTTAGGACTGGAAACAAGAAGGATTTTTATCTGTCTAGAAAGCTGTAGCACCGAGCTTGCAAGGGGAAGCATCAAAGTTCAGGAAAGGAAAGAAACTGGAAATCCTACAGAGCTGGTTACAATATGGCAAGGATGAGTGACTAGTTAATTATTCTATAGAAACGCTTACTAATTCTGCTTATAGAAATTCAGAATCAGGTTCATAACAGTAAGTTATATCCCTGACAGCACCAGGCAGCCTTCTGCAGAGACCTTCAGCTTGAACCACCCCGCCAGGAGCTCCTGACCTACAACCCAGCTTCTAAAGAACAAAGACCTTTGCTCTATCCGCTCCTCTCTGAGCCGAGGGGCTGCCAAGTGCCGCTTTCCAGAAGAAAACCAGGTTTGCAGAGCCAGAGCCGCTGGCTGACCCGATCTCAGAAGCAGAAAGCAGAGCTGCAGCGGGAAGGTGATTTTATAGCCCGTCTGCTGTCCTGGCACAGGCTCACAGTGAGAAAAACCCGCACCTGCAGGGAAATCACAGCCAGGCACTGGGATAAAGGAAGGAAAATAGCACCCATTGCATCTTTTTTACAATCCTGTGTCTTGGGTCTTTTTGGCTAATGGGGGGGAGAGAGCCGCAGCGCAAGTGCTGCATTACAGAGAACGTCCTCGCTACCACAAACGGGTCTTGGGCAAGTGAAAAAAAGCCGTGGGGTAACACAGAAATTCGCCAAGTTCGTGGAGTGTTGTATAATCCGAGACGTTGTCTTTGTATGCCATATATGTGAGAGTCAGGGGAATTTGAAATGGGCAGTAAAATACTAACAGATGTATTTTTTTTTTTAGTGATAATATATCAACCTAAAAAGCGAATGAGACTATACAGCAGCTCTTTCTCTCTCACATAATTTTAATATGCTGAAATGCCTACATTTTAGTCTATCTGGCTACAAGCTTTTGAAGTCTATGTTTATAAATCCCTGAGAAGAAAGACATAAAATGAAACAAATGACAGCTTTGAATTATAGTTGCGATGAATATTGTCATAATAAATTCTCTCCTCACCCAAAAGAGCGACGAGGGATTCCTTCTGTACCACACCATGTTTTCACAAGTCAAATACAGCCACTTGTTCAATTTATAGCTTTGGGCTCAAAGCCTGCACACGTATTACATGAACTCAGCTGAACATGATTCAAAACTATTTGGTTAAGAATACCGTGTTTCTAGATAATTTAGGCTGAGATTTTGTTATGGGTTGTGCAAGGGCTTTTTGCTACCCAAGTCAGCAGCCCTGATGTATCGAAATCCTCTGGGCAGCGTGTCAAGCCATAATCTTTCAGAGGTGTTGCTCTAGAGCTTGTTTCTACAGCTGTAATTGCCGGAGGAAGGGATGCTGAAATGATAATCAAAACAATGCTTTCATATGAAAGATTAGCTCTTTTCAACACCAAGGTCCTTATCGGAGCTGTAATGCGTATTAATCACCAATTCCCTACCTCAGCTCGATTTGCTGTTGCTACAAAAGGGGACGACAATTTAAACGACTACTTCTGGAATCCTTGGCTGGCGTGCACAGCTTTGCTCTGAACAAGATTTCCAGTGAAAAATGAATCCGTTTAGACACAATGGCTACACGTTTTGCCATATCTTTATTGCACTTTTACCACGTTGCAAACAATTCCACAAAAATGCTGCAAAAGTAAGCCTAGAGCTGCTGATAGCAGCTTTTTACCCATATATGTATATATTTACACAAAACTATCAAAAGCAAAGTTGAAAAGTAGCAGCTCAGCTATGATAGTCTAGAAAGATAAGAGCTGCCACCTCGTTATGGACAAATAGTACAACTTGTCATTTTACATCACTTTGTAAAACCAACATTCAAGTATTCCTGTCAATGCACAATTAGTGAAATTCCCTTCTGGTAACCACTGTATTTATTATAATAATAATTATTATTTTTTGCCTTTAAAAGTTCATAATGCCTTAACCCTTTAAATGCTGAGTAGCTGAGGGGAAAAAAAAAAGCATTCGATTTAAATAAGATACAGTGGATTAGAGCACTTAAAGGGTTAACACAAAATACTAAGTGGACTGTCACCACAAATAAAGTGTGAGTCACAAAACTATGCTGTCCCTCTTAGTTAAATTTGGTAGGTAGGTCTGGGGTTTCATAGATATACCATATATAAATACAAAATATTAAGTAAAGGCCTCCTTTCTATACAAAAAGGACAGGAGGTGTTTTGCTATCAGACTGTTGTCTGGCAATGATCTGAGTATTTTCTGAATCTTTTCATAATCTCTCTTTAGGAACTAATGAAAAGCATCACATTAGACTTATTTTTCTTAATGAACTAATCCTTTGCAGAGTCTACACTTTACCTACTTTGGGAACAATTATATCTCATTTCTGAATTCACTGAATTCACAAAGTGGCATACACAGTCTTTTGCAAGACTTTTTTTTTTTCTTTTTCCTCTTTGAATCTTCTTTACTTGGCTGGTAAAAACGTAGTCTTGCGATTTCACTACCTCTCGGTCGTAACAGTGTTAACATCAGTGTTAAAGTCATTTTCAACCACATTGTCATAACCATCCTTTTCTATACAGTCACTAACAGCCTTGAGGACAATCCGCAGCCGCCTGTCCATCGCCTCCAAGTGAGGCTGGTAGAGAATGGGAGCTATTTTATCTTTTAGTAAAGATTCCTTCATCAAGACACTGAGTTTGTATTCCTCCTTGGCTAACAACTGTAATCGCAGATAGGTAGACTTCCTTATTCTAAGAGAAAAAGGAGAAAAAAAAAAAAAGAAAATCAGTATTTTCATCACTATCGATCTCGACAGGGCTAAAAGGCTTATAGTCGGCACAGCAATAATAGTGTAAGAACCTTATCGTGTGACCCAAAACGGCAAGAACCAGGCAAGACCCTTCCGCAGGGTCCCGATCTCAGCAAAGCACTGGAGGTGTCCGTGCCAGTGCTCAGGGCTAGCTCGGGTCAGGCTCCCTGGGCAGGACCGTAACATCTCCACCTCCCCATGGGACGCAGTAAAGGGTTCACTTAACATTTCAGTCCTATTAGTGGAAACAACTAAATAAATGGGACACGATTCTGAAGATGAAACGTACCTGCAGCACTGGTTTAAAGGCACCAATATGGAAAGTTCGTCGTGGGAATATTTTCCAAACCTATTTAAAGATAACAGCAAGAATATTACAAAGGCTGTTTTAAAGACTTTTTTCTTGCCCCCCACCCCTGAAAGATTATTAAAGGTATTTACCCTCTTCCATTATCTAAGTGGATAATAAATGTTTCATTTCCAAACTTCTCAAAGGTTTCGTAGTGATGTCGATCCATGTTACCTATGGAATAAAGAGAAAAAAGACCGTTCTCACTCGGCTTGCTGCTGAGCCGGCAGACCAGGACAATACAAAAGCCACGGTTCAGCGAGAAGCCCAGCACTCCCCAACCGCGACGGCTCTGCAGGGCAGAGAAAGCAACGAACGGATCTACGGAGCTCCATTGCCTCTACTGTGGAAACCCCAAAGTGTGCGATCCTGGAGGATGGGCTGTTCTGCCCCTCCAAGCTTTTCCAGCTCCCTGGAGTTATACTTAAGGTCTAGAGGACCCATCAAGAGACAAAACAAACCTTCCCACCCTCCAGCAACCCCTCCTGCGGTGCGCCAAGGAAATCCATCTCGAGGACGATGGCATCTCAACAGCTTCAGGAGCCTGGTCTTCTGTGAGGTAGCTATGTCCTGAGCCAGCAGAGCTTCATCAGTGCAAAGGAGCCCTGCCGCTCCAGCCCCGGTCAGCACGGCGTGCAAAGCAGCCGTGGTACGTGTGTGCCAGGGGCGAGGCTGAGCTTAGGGAGGGCAAATCGCATCCTTCAAGCAGGGATGTTAGTCCATATGACTTTGCTAATATTGTATTAAACTTTTTGAACCATGACCAAACATCTTGTTTTTTCCTCAAATAAGAACTTCGTCCAAATTTCTGGCTGCCTGAAAAGCCAAAAGGATAATACGGCCGTAACATATGGATCGGGATGCTACTGCAGTGGTACAGCTGAAGAGCTCTCTTTGGGCACCCGTGGCAGGCAGACGCGTGATCTGCTTTTTGAGGTCCATGCGCACAGTACTGGTGCCAAGCTATGAATTTTGTCGTCATGGCGGGGGTCTTGAGCCACTTATAGATGCCACATATGGCTCCTGAGCTGTGATTTGGCCTCTCCTGCTGCAGCCTATTGCAGAAATCTCAGTAGCGACACTGCCAGAGCTGTCCATGCTGGCACGTGTCCGAGGATCAAGTATGTATGTTGGCACCTTACAGGTATATTAGCTGCAGCAGAGCAGGGTTCATGTAAGAATGTCTCAGTGTTAATCACTGAGTAGGCTTGGAATGGGTCACTATTACCTTCTTGTTAATAATTATTTTATTCCCATCAGGTTATATAAACAGCAGAAAACTTCCTGATACGTACCACAGTTGCCTTTGTGACAACACGACACTTTTTTTTTTTTTCTTTCCCCTCTGACGGGTTAAAAACAATGAAAATAATGAACAGCCCTTGGATGCAGGAGCCACACGTTACAATGGCAAAGCACTCACTGAAGCAAACTGTGAAGCCCTTAACTGTTGCGAAGGAGACTAGCCTGACCTGCATTCATCATCACTCGGCATTTCTGAACATGTTTGTTCCTTTAATCTGCACTGATGGGAATACGTAACCGTGTAAATCTGCATTTTCTCATAATCATCTAGAACGGCACATACAGTAAATGCAGCTTCAACCATGCTTTAGCAAACTGCTGAGCTATGCAGAGCGATGTAGAAAGAAATGGTTCTTATTCTAATTAAATGTTGCATTTAATTTTTGAAAGAGATGAAACATACCCATTAGGAAATCAAAAACTGTCATATCCATTATATCCAGAATTCTGGTCCCACTGTCATACGGGGGTGTTTGTTTAACCTCTTCGCAATAATCTGGATCAACTTCCCATCTGGAAAAGCCAATATTTTGATATTTTATGTGACATACAAAGCTTACTGAGTATTAAAAAAAAAAAAAAAAGTTATTTTGCAAAGATGTTGTTGTATCATGTTCAATTGAGGGCAGGGTCAGGTAGAGGCAGCAAATTCTTCAGGCTGCTTCCGATAATGCAGGCAACCAATAAAGACTGTGACTGATGAAAAAGGAAGAAAATCACAAGATTGAAAACTATCTGGCTAACAGCTTCAAGATTTAGGAGACCAGCTGCGCCATCAGCCGTGTAATGAAAACATTTGAGACGTGGTTAGGGCTGCTGACAGCAGTGAATCTTCCTCCCTCTGACAGGACTTAGACGGGTCCCGTTGCATCCTGTCAAAACCACGGGAGGTGTCTGTGCCACGAGGGAATTACGCCATCGAAGGTCCTTTCCGGTTCAGGACCATAAGCTGGAGCTCCTTGCAAGTGTAAGTACTCCGGCCCTTCCCAGGAGCTGGACCCGCTGAGGAAATGCAGATGCTCTCCTAAGCCTCAACGCTTTAGATAAGGCAAGGGCAGTAACCGCAGCGCTGCTTTACCTCCCTCCCGCCCTTCGCAGCTGGCGCAGCCTTTGCTCACCACTACTCACTCTGCTTTCTTGCGCTTGTGGTAGGAACGTCTCCAAGGGTTTCTCCAGGTTTTCCTTTTAGCTAAAGACAAATCAGGTAGGAAAGCAGCAAGAGAGCCTTCGATCTGGTCTGGTTTTCCGCACAGGGCGTGCTCTGTTGAGCAGTAGTAGGAGCATTCCCCGTAGAAGCAGATGTTGTTGGCTGGTAAAGAAACGAAAAGAGTTTTAAAACCTACCCTTAAATTAGTGTTCAAGAATTCATAAAAGCAATGATGTATGGATGAGCAGAAATAAATCTCGGACCCAAAACCCCATTACCACACATAGTTTTCTTCCACCGAAACCACTGGGAAGACATTCATGTCAGGGGCTGGGATCATGCGCTGTGCTGAGCTCTCTGTTACTATTTCCAGTCTATTCATATTCCAAAAGCCCAATTTTTTTTTTTTTAATCCTTTCCCTTCTCCTTTCATTTTCCCAGACTGATACATCCTTTGGGATCTATTTGTTACCCCAGGCTGGAACCTCAAATCCCACAGCTGAACAAGTGGCGCGTGCCCAAAATCAAGTCACCTTTCAAAATCTTGGCTTGTTTCTTTAAGAACAGACAACAACATTTCATTCATTTACTTGCTGCTATGAGAAGAACCGGCAGTTTTACTACGGAGAATTGTTTACCATGAAGACTCCTGTGGGGGTGTGTGTGGAAGGTGGGAATAGCACAGATGTAACTCTGTCAGCACGCATCCCAAACACAAATTTCTTCCTCCACGCATCACGTTACTCCAAGAACCACAGAAAAAGAACCTGCAGCAGGTTTTGGAGCGTCTGTTACCTTAAAACCTCCCCAAAGCTGCCACCACTTATTTCTGTACCAACAGGAACGCCCACCTCTTTACGAGAACCCCCTTCCCGTGTGAATTCGCTGGAGGTGGGAGGGAGCAGCTCATCCCCAAACCCCACCAACGCTGGACTACGAACAAGAACAGGAGCACAATGCTGATCTTCTTGTTGATGTGCTACAACTCTTTTGACATTGCTTCATGCAGATAAAATGTCACCAGAGGAAGAGCGTGCCCTTTCCTTATGGTAACGCGTGGAGCTGAGAAGTCACTTGTTTCCTCATTCCCCACAAGGCCTCGAAATTCAAATATTGCATCTGCGCTGCTCCCGCTTCGGGCAGGCTCAGTACAGATGAGGCAGGAAGGGCTGTAGAACAGAGGGGGGGATGTTCTGCCTGCCACAGGAGACCACGCGGCTCAGAAAGGTAACCGGGGGGGTTTCATCTCCTGGCGGAGATGGCACGCTGCCGGTGGGCAATGCAAGGGAGGCGGCGAGTCAAGAGGACAGGGAGCAATACCGGTGCTACGGAGATAGCAGGAGGCAACGGGGCAAGGAGCTGCAACTGCGGAAGGAGGAGAAGGAGAACGTGGAAGAGAAATAAGGTCTCGTGATGTTTTTGATTATATTAATTAACCATATTATCCGAGACCAACTGCGAACCTTGGATTTACATTGTCTAATTGGACTAAAAGGCTGGTGTGTTACTACTTGACAGTTTGTCTCAGCTCTTCATTTCCAAGCCTCTATCGATGGCCATCAGATTTGTCCACTAAGTTGTGATTACTTTACTCTGGACGCAGCCTTTTCAAAATCCTCTGTTGTCACTGACTCATGAGGGCCAACTCCAACCCGAACTGTATATTGACATTCACAGGGCTGGCTCATACGGGTTAAATATGTCCTGACTCAGTCCAGAAATATTTACCCTGCGGTCAAAAACCTCGTTGACAATTACCGAAAGAAAAGTACTTCAGGGAAGAGAAAATGAAGAACAGAAATTACAAAAGGAAGGAAGGGAGCACTCAGCATGTCCGTACCTTTAATTTTGTAATTTAAAGTGTTTTACCATGCAGAATACCCTTTCTTAAAAATTATTTTAAAAGCTTTTTCTTACATATAAGGCATACTTAGTCCCTTCACATTTTAATTAAAGGAACAATAGTTCAATACTTCCCATGAGCTAAGAAGTGACCAGGTCCTCGACCAACAAGCCACTCGGCTTGGCAATTTCCTGTGAACCTTGGTGCTGCTCATCACACGATACATCTATTAATTTCTAAACAGAAATCTCACTCATTCTTCCTTTTAAGCAACTCAGTAATATAACTCATATCTCTAAAGGTGAAGTTTTGAAAACCTTTTTACAAACCTCATGGGGAAAGAGCAATCGTGGTTAGGGAAGCTTGGGTTGGAAGGGACTCTGGAGGCCTCTGGTCCAAGCTACATCTTCAGGCCACCACTACCATCAGAGTCATCAGACCGGTGTTGCCTTCTCTTGTCCAGGCTACACAAAGCTGAAACCCTCAGCTTCTTCCCTTCCATCAGATGCACCAGCTCCAGGACCACCTCAGTGGCCCTCCTTCGGACTCCCTCATTTCCTCAGTCTAAACTCAAGCATAAAGTCAACATCCAGACAAACCCAACCTAACGCAAGCCCTGGGCGCGCTGCCCTGCGGTCTACAACCACTCTCGAGATTTCTTTTCAAAAACACTATGGCAGGATGGACGTGGCAAAGCTTTTGCAGGGCAAACACAGGTGCCCCAACTTCGCCTTTGATCATCCTGGCAAAACCAGGAGGGCTTCATGCCTCCCTGGGAACTTCTGCCATAATTCAGGATGCAAGCGAAGAGCTGTCCAAGCACCTGTGGGCAGCGCTGCCAGCTGCAGATGGTCTGCAAACAGAAGGATCACGCTGGGCCGTTAGGAAGGTTGGGATATTCTCGGCCAATAAAAACTGGGGGAAAACATCTGTGATTTATACCCTTAAAAAAAAATTAGTGCAGAAAAAATATTTAAAGGGATTCCAGGCCGCCCCAAGGGATGATTTACAAGAAATCACGTACCGATGCTCTTTGCTGCAGGCCAGCACACAGGAGCTGGGAGATACAAAGAGATCCCTCACTTCCCAGGTGTCTGCTGCCTCGGTGGGAACGCAAGGCTCCCCCCGCACTGCAGCGAGGGTTTGTGTTTCCAGTGATCTGAAGCTGCAGTGGGGCTGGTGCTTCAATTCAGCTGTGTCAGCATCACCTGCTCGTCTGCGAAGGGAGGGAACCTATACAGATTTATCTTGATCGCCTGAGACAACTTATCTTCCAGGGTTTCTATGACCTGACTTCCACCTGGCAGCGGGAAGCTGATGCTCGGTTATCTGCCACCGTAACTGTTTTTTAAAGAGCAAAAGACCCAGCAATGCCTCTCCCACGCTATCGCAGCCTCTGCTGCTCACTATGTAAATCTGACCTTTCAAAAAAGGAATTATATTAAACACAGCATTTTGCACAGTGGGAAGATAAATACTGTGTTTAATAGTTTGCTTCTGAATTTAACTTTGGGAACAATGAAACCCTGGTCTGTATTGTCAACGAAAGCAACTGGGACTAATCATTTGACAGTAATCACACACTCGTATCCAGATAAATCTTCAGGAAAGCTCGGGGGCCAGGGCAGCGATGGCATTTGCTGCTGCAGAGTGACACAGCTGGCACGTGCGCTGCCTGCACCACGCCGGGCCGTTCAGCCCCGCTCCTGCCGGGCTCCTCCGGCTACTGATTTTCCCACAGAGCCCCCACCGCCTGCAACGGGACTCCAGTCCTCCGAGCGATGGCAGGATGCGTCCTGTCGTTAAGACAGCAAACTTGCGGTAAAACCGCAAATGTATTTCTTGGTGAGAAGTTACTTTCAATGGCAAAGCTTTTTCTGCCGGTTGTTATTCTCCCCGTGGGCTGGGGTACTTAGGTCCATGGCTCCTGTGTGATTTCTGAGGGTAGTGGAGGTGAAAGGATGCTGTATCTCAAGTTGCTATTAAAGTAATTAACTGCTTTGATTGCTACAGAATAGAAATCCTGATATGTCTTAGTTCTTATACACAGGCAGTGAGATGAAGCAGCCTGAATTATCTGGGGAAACATTCATTTTTAACATTTCTTAAAAACGTAGCAAAAAAAGAGGTACCAAATATAGAAAAACACAGTTCTCATTTAAGACTTCAAGGTGCCGTAGCAAGCCTTTTTCTTTGAAACCTAAGTAGGTGACCCACATTCTGCGCAGCAGGCTGAGGGTGAATTTCCAGCTAGAGACACGAGCCCAGTGCTTCGCCGGCAATCTCACGCTAAGAGCAGGGTTTGGCTTTTCGAAGGCAAAAATCAAAGGCAAAAGGGAGACCAGGTCTAACTGGAGTGTGGTCCTTCTCCTCCAGTTAAAATTTCTCAGCCCATATGTTCCTTTCTCATATGATATAGGTGCTTCTGTACAGCCCCCCGTCCCTACGTACACCTGCAAAAGAAGCGACCGCAGGAATTTGTGCTCCTGGAGAGCGGGTAGAACCGGCAACAGCAGCAGTGCCGGTAAACCAGAAAGGGAGGGATGCTTATATATGCTGAAATGTTCAAATGCTGCAAATCTGCCACATGCAAACTCCTTCTTTAAAAACCAGAATTGTTTCCTCAAAGCACTAGAGAGGCAAGAGAATCGCAAACGGTGTTGCAAATGTCTGATTTTCATTATCTGAGGATGAATGGATACGATTCGTAATGAAATCCACACAAAAATCATGGTCTGGTGATCGAAACTCCAACTAATTATAACAATTAAGAACCAGAGTGCCTGTGTACTCGTCTGCACATTTTCTGTGCGTCATCCCGATAGCTGAACAATAATTCTTCTCAGGAAGAAAAGGAACAAGTGGAGATACCTTAAAGCAAATTGCTTGGCAGAGCAATTCTTTTATTGAGATTTGCATGACTCTTAATAGAAGACATTTAGCAAGCCTGGGCAACTGGAGTACTGGAAAGAATCCTGAATATTTACTAAAGCAATGCATGAAAAGATCTTTCTTTTACCTGCTCAAAATAATAGCTAATTCAGAATTGCTATTGTTTGCTGAGAGGGGAAAAAAAAAATCCATAATCCCTTGGAATTGGTTAATATGAACAAAAACATAGTGCTTACTAGCTGTGTAACATTGATTTCTTTAAGCTGCTGCCTCAATTACTTCCAAAACGAAGGCTGACATCATTAATATGTCTCTTTTTTCCTAGCAAATTACCATTCATTTGTAAGAGTAGCAGGGCTACTGCAGTCTGCCCTACTGCAAAGGATGTAAAATTAATTTAAATAATTACTGACCTAATTCCATTTCTCATGTTTAGTCCAAACTGCCTGGAAGTGCACTTTTCTGCAATCTGCTTTCTCTCCGAACGCAGCCTAATGCATCAAGTGACCTGTCTGCTCGCAGCCATTCCCATTTCCGCTGGAAGAAGGGATGCTGCTCTGCAGCGCGCTCTGGAGCCAGAACTGCCTGCACCCTCCTGGCCCCGATTTCCAAGCCTGATGAGACAAGCGAAGTGGCCCTGCGTGGAAATGCAGTGAGGTTTCTTCCAACACATCCCCGCGCTGGTCCAGGGAGTAACACGGTGTAGTGATGAGCATCATCGATATTTACCCTCTGCGGGTTTCCACTGCCAACAGCGGTCTCCCAGCTCGAGGGGAAGAGCTTTCTATAAAATCAATTACATTTAGTGCTCGTTTAATTTTAAGAGATGTATATGGGTGCCCGGAGAGGGATACATTGCCAGCGGATGCCGCGTGTCCCCATGACCATTAATCGTCCCTGAGCACGGCTGGGGATGGAGATGCAGAGACACAGCCACCTGAAAGGGAGTCCCGGGGGGGCCTCCATAGCTTAACGCGGGTGCAGACTGGTTCTCGCAAGCACCTACACATCACACCTCAACTGCTCAGCTGTGTAACCAGTCCTCCCTCAGAACCAGCTGACGGTGGTGCCCCTCTTCTGCCAGAGGGGACAAGCCAGCTTCTTCCAGTCCTCCCCAGGCTCCCTGGTCCCTCTCCATCCTCACCTCCCCAGGCCACGGGGCTCATCCCAGCACCCTCCTCTTTTAACCTTTTCCACCCGCAATCTGCTGCTTCAGCTGCCTGCGAGGTTTGTGACTTTGTTTCTAAATGCTTAATTTAGAACCCTTATTACTTTTTCATTAAGCATTAATTAATGCCTGCCTTTTAAGGTCAGTATGAAATACAAGATGGAGGTTGGGCATATGTTAATGAAAATCCGACTAATTAAACTGGGGACTTGTAGGGAAGAACTCTGACAAGTAACCAACATGATTTAAGCAAAGTACATTGATTTAGGAAATGTAAAATTGAAAGAAAAATTAATTGCTTAAGCATTTCCTTCTCCAGAAAAGCCTGATTCATAGTTAATCAAATATTTTAATTGAACTTATCTGAGGCCTCTAAATAAATTTGAATAAAGGATTATGCTTGGATCATCCCTTGGATGACTGGAATTTCATAATGGCAAGATAAAGATCTTCATCCGAACCAGCGGCCTTAACTCTGCATTGCCATGCTCTGGCTGCTGTAAGCTGCTCAGTACTTGAGTACAGTTTTGTAATTCTCAGAAATCACTCAAGTTCACCCCTAAGCCTTGATATATAACCTGGGAAGACTAAAAAAGCAAGCAAACCTACTAATCCATCTTACTTGCTAAAACGGGAATAAAATGGCTTATATTTCAAATGAGCCAAAGTACCTTGTGCCCACAAACAGTCACAAGATTTTTTTTGCCATCTTTTGTGTGTGATATTGTTTGCCTCCAAAAAACAAAAAGTAGAGAGAGAGACAGAGAGGGAGAGAAAGCAACTGAGGCACAAGAGCCTGGCTGGAGCACGCAGAAGTGTCTGCACATCAGGTTTGATGAACACTGTCACCACGCACTGTCACCACTGTCACCACGACTGCACACGTAAAACTGGAGGGCTCCTACCACGGGGTAGGATGAAACCTCTTGTAATTATGTAATGTATTTTACAAGTGAAGTTACTGGAATAAATAATTGTCTGCTCAACTGTGTCCTGCAGAGCTGAACATAAATATGAAGTTAAAAATAACAGCCATAGTAATGACTTTATTGGTGATCACAAAAGTGTGATAAACATTTTAAGAGAGAAAGCTCTGCAATGACAGGGCTCTTGTTTCTAGCTAACAGCAATAAATTACAGTTACGTTGGGAAAAACTGTAATTAAGTCTTTGGATCTTGACTTCAGGGATCTGGGATAAAGAGCTTCGGGCCAATCACACGCAGCGCAAGGGAGAGCTCTCCGGAGGTTTCTGCCCCAGATTGCCTGGTACACAAGACACAGCCCCAGTTCAGCAAAGCACATTTGTGCGCAGCTGAAATAATATGAGTTATGCTCACTGG